CCCCAAAACCCCAAAACCCCAAAACCCCATAAAATAAAAATAGCATGTATAATAAAGAAGGCAATTTTATGAATAATTTTAAATAAGAATAGAGAATTATGGAAGAGTCAGACATGGACCTTTAGACTATGATGTTTAAAAGGTAACAGAAAAAGGACATATTCGAGAGCACACCTTCAAAACTGGGAGGTACCAACCCTAAATTGATTAACAAACTAGACGTTGGTGATTGTTAGGTTACGACCATCACAGGACAGAATAGCGAAATTAAAGCAAAAAAGAGCTAGGGGAGAGATCCTAAAGAGTAACCATTATTGATAAATGTTTCCTACACATAGTATGAGGTTCTTAAGGATGTAGCCGAGGACTTGAACTTCAATCTGTCCTATGAAGAGGAGGAGGATTGGGATATCTATTGGATTGATGGTCCAGTGGCACCGGCATTCTTGCTTAAAATGCAAGCGTACTAAAGAGCAAGCCATTTCCCTGGTATGTTCGCACTTGCCCGTAAAAACTTATTGGCGAAAAATCTGCAAGCCATGAAAAAAGTATTTTCCCAGGAATTTAACTTCTTCCCAAAAACATGGTTGATTCCTCAGGATGCTAAGGATTTCAAAGCCTAATTCAATAACAAAAAAGCGAAAACTTTTATTATTAAGCCAGAGGCAAGTTGCCAAGGAAAGGGCATTTTTCTAACTAGAAACTTTGACTGGTTACAAGCTGGTGAGCATTATGTGGCACAAAGATACTTGCATAAACCCTATTTAATTGATAATCTGAAATTTGACTTAAGAATCTATGTTCTTTTAACTGGAATCAATCCTCTCAGAGCCTTTATCTACAGAGAAGGTCTAGCAAGATTCGCTACAGAAGAGTACAATTCTCCCTTAGGTAGTAATTTGAACAATTTATGCATGCATTTGACTAATTATGCTATAAATAAAGATAGTGACCAGTTTGTGTTTAACGAAGATCCTTCAAAAGATGATGTCGGACATAAAAGAGGACTAAAACCGATCTGGACTCACATTGATAATAACAGGAAACCAGAGGGTAAAACCGCAGCTTAAGTCTGGCAAGACATAAAAGAGGTTATAGTAAAAACTTTGATCACTGGGCAACCCCACATCGCTCATCTTTACAGATCTTCGAAACCGGATGATGTAGAGAACAGCATGTGTTTCTAGATTCTTGGTTTCGATATTTTTATAGATAATAAATGTAAACCTTGGCTCATAGAAGTAAATTAAAGCCCCAGTTTCACGACAGATACACCTCTTGATTTTAATATTAAAAAGGCTTTGATATGTGACACAGTAGAAATGCTTAATCTTAGCTGGAAAAGAAAGAACAAATATATTGCAGCTAAGAGAGCCGAACAGCAAAAGAGAGTATTGGTTGGAAAATAAAAGGTCTCTTAAGAGGAAAGAGAGGCCCTCAGAGAAAAGAAACTTAGATTAAAGGACAAATATGAGACAAATCATCTTGGAAATTATGAAATGCTATATCCTTTGAAGAAAGGAGCAGATGAGTACTCTGACTAGCTAATGGAAAAATATGATTTACTCCTAGTAAAATCGAAGGAAATCTGGGAAGAATCAATATCTGGTGGGGGTTATGTGGCTAAGAAGAAGGAATCCCTACCAGAAACTAAAAGTATTTCATCCTCGGGGACTAATAAGCCAGGTTCCTCTCAAGGTCTTAGAAAAACTTCAAATAACTTTTAAAGATAGCAACAAGTTAAGTCAAATCAAACTCAAAAGCAAACTATTACAACATATCAAAATTCCTCATCCCAATTCCAACATATTTAACCATAAACAACGAAAGATTCTACTCCGGTAAGTCACACTCAACCTTCACAAAATTCTCATACAACGATTCTACATTCGCAATCATTCACTTCTCAGAATAATCAATCTTAGAATCAATCGATCGGAGTTACAAGCAGTACCAGCAGTAGACACTAGGTTCAGCAAGAATCGTTCTTTGTTGGTTACCCATACATTAGAGAAGAGGCAGAAGCTGATTACATAAGGTTAAGTCAGAAACTTCATCTTGGCCAGCATCATGCCCATTCACCAGTAAAATTGAAATCACAACCAATAGCTTAAAATTCTTTGACCTAGTTAGATTTCAAATACGGGCAAGGAGTTCCAATCCCCATACCGCAAATGAACCAGATTAGAAATTCATCAGTAGACTAAGCTATCCAAAATAACAACAATAGCAAAGGATTTTAAAAGAAACCTTCATAAGCATTAGTCTAAGGTCAGCAATAACAACTACAGACCTAACAGTAGCAAATGATACCAATTAATCAATAACTACTTACTTCAAAAATCAATACAAATTAATTGGCTTTGTTATATCAAAAACAAGGGCAACCAATAATGACCAGTAACCAGAGTTCTTCTCTAAATGGGAGGGTTCAAACTTAGTAAAATGATTAAATGCTCAGAATTAATTCAATAGATAGGCATATGGGCATCCCAGGAACTATAAATACCCAAGTTATAGTAAATTAGTAGACTTAAAATCAGTAGAGCATATATGTCTTGAATGGGGGACCTAATAACAGACAGACTTAGTAAGCACCTAGATCAAATAGCAATGCAGTTGGCATTGTTGGAGTCAGCCTTGGTCCTGTTTCAGCAAATGCAGCTAAAAACTAGTCCCTCAAAAACATCAACGGAATGGTATACAATAACGATTCATTGATGCTAAAGGGAATGTCTCTCGGTAAGGGTGGGTAAATTCAATAAGTTCTCCCGCAGTAGATCTACAGAATGCCTTATTAAAGATAATGAAGATTCTACCACTGCTCCTATTATTAGTTTGTATTTTGGTTGCACTGTATTCTCAAAGTGCAATCATGCAACAATAACCGTGCTAAATAGTATTCTATCTATATTATGAATGCTTTATTATTATTTTGGAATCCTTATAATTTCTATCTTCATTTACAGCTGTGGGGTTTTGGGGTTTTGGGGATTTTTAGTTTTGGATTATTCTTTTCTCAGGGGA